GGGATAGATAGAGAGAATCAGACCACCAATAGTGGTCTCATGACCACTTAAGAGTAATAGTGGGTCCCACCCATTTTGTTTGAATTTTCTTTTCTTTTTTTTCTTTTGAATTACACCTCACACACACATATATATATGAAAAACTTAAAACATTACATTCTCACCAACTTAAAAAGATTTTGTCCCCAAAATCAAGACATACCTGAGGAAGAAAACAACGCTGGGTACTTGAAGCGAACCTCCTGTTCGAGTTCCCAAGTAGCCTCCTCGACTCCGTGGTGTCTCCAAAGAACTTTCACCATTAGCATCGTCTTATTCCTTAATACCTTCTGCTGTATGTCAAGGATCTGAACTGGTCCCTCCTCGTAGGAAACATCATCATCAATGTCTACATCAACCCAACTCAAAATGTGAGATGGATCCGGCTCGTACTTCCGTAGCATCGATACATGAAAGACATTGTGAACCCTGTCCAACTATAGTGGCAAAGCAAGTCTGTAGGCAACCTCTCATACTCGGTCCAAAATCTCAAACGGTCCAATGAATCGTGGTGACAACTTGCCACTTTTCCCAAATCTCATCAATCCTTTCCGTGGAGAAACCCGTAGAAAAATATGGTCTCCCACCTCAAAAGATAACAGCCGTCTCCTTTTATCCGCAAAACTCTTCTGTTGGCTCTGAGCTGTAAGTAACCTCTATCTGATCAGCTTAATCTTCTCAGTCGTCTAGAGTACTATGTCGGGTCCTAAGGCAGCGGTCTCACCCACCTCAGTCTAACAAACAGGAGACCTACAAGGTCTACCATACAATGCCTCAAATAGAGCCATCTGGATACTCGCTTGATAACTGTTGTTGTAGGCAAACTCAATACGCGGTAGATGATCTTCCCAACTGCCACCCAAGTCAAGCACACATACCCGAAGCATATCCTCCAAGATCTGGATAGTACGCTCCAACTGGCCGTCCGTCTGTGGATGGAATGCCGTACTAAGATGCAACGCTGAACCAAACGCTGCTTGAAGTCATTCCCAGAACTTCGAAGTGAACTTAGCATCCCTATCTGATACAATGGTTACACAAACTTCATGTAACCTTACAATCTCCTTCACATAAAGTACACCAAGCTTCTCTGCATTGTCTGTTACCTTAATAGGCAAAAAGTGAGCCGTCTTGGTCAACCTGTCAATCATGACCCATACGGCTTCATTGCCCATCCGTGACCTTAGAGACCTGTCACAAAATCCATAGCAATATGTTCCCATTTCCACTGCCCTACAGGTAATGGTTGCAACAAACCAGCAAGTCTCGAATGCTCGGCCTTCACCTGTTGACAGGTAAGGCACTTAGCCAAAAACTGAGCAACATATTTCTTCATCCCGTTCCGCCAATACTGACGTCTCAAATTGTGATACATCTTGGTACCACTTGGATAAACTGCAAAGCGGGAAGTGTGAAACTCCCGTAAGACGTCCTCACGACAAATCGTGGGAACCACCAACAAACCCCTGAACCGTAGACCCCCATCTGCATGCAAGGTCCAATTTTTCACTGTCTCACCACCAAAGATCAAGGTGTAAAGGGCATCCAAATCTGGATCCTGTCTCTGCGACTCAATCACTCTTCTGACAAGAGTAGGCTGAGCAACAAGACTAAACAAGAACGACTCACAGCAAGCATCGTCATTAAAACACTGCAATCCCATTTCTGTCAGATCTTCAAGCATCTTCTATTTTCGGATGGCCAAACTAGCCAAAGTTTCACGAGATTTCCGACTTAAGGCATCTGCTACCACATTTGCCTTGCCCGAATGATACTGCAAGTCAAAATTGTAATCTTCTAAGAATTCAACCTATCTTCTCTGTCTGTTATTCAAGTCCTTTTGGGAGAAAAGGGTACTTGAGACTTTTATGATCCGAGTACACCTCGAATTTCTCACCATACAAGTAATGTCTCCAACATTTCAAGGCAAATACAACTGCCGCTAACTCCAAATCATGAGTAGGGTAGTTAAGCTCGTGAGTCTTCAACTGTCAAGACCCATAACCCACTACTCTACCATCCTGCATCAATACACATCTCAACCCATCACGTGAAGTATCACAATAAATTATATAACCAAAGCCACACTCAGGTATCACCAACACTGGAGCTATAGTCAATCTTGTCTTCAACTCCTGAAAAGATGACTCACATACTTCATTCCAGACAAACTTGATCCCTTTCCGGGTCAAACGGGTCATAGGTGCTGTCAAATGGGAGAAATCCTTCACAAATCTTCGATAGTAATCCGCTAGGCTAAGGAAACTCTAAATCTCAAAAACATTCTTGGGTTGTTCCTTATTCAAAACTACTTCAACCTTTGATGGATCTACTGACACTCCACCTTCTGAAACAACATGCCCCAAAAATTTCACCTCCTATAACCAAAACTCACATTTCTCATATTTGGCGTACAATCGGTGTTCCCGTAAAATCTGTAAAACAATACTCAAATAAACCTCGTGCTCCTCTCGAGATCGTGAATACAGAATGTCATCCACGAAAACTACCACAAACTGGTCCAAGTAATCGTGAAAGACGCGGTTCATCAAGTCTATGAATGCCGTTGGCGCATTAGTCAAGCCAAAAGGCATAACAACGAACTCATAGTGTCCATACCGTGTACGGAACGCTGTCTTTGGGATATCCTCATCCCTAACCCGTAACTGATAGTAGCCTGACCTCAAGTCAATCTTCGAAAAACAACAGGCTCCTCTCAACTGATCAAACAAATCATCTATCCTTGGCAAAGGATACTTATTCTTGATGGTGGCACGATTCAACTTCCGGTAATCAATGCACAACCTCAAAGAACCATCTTTCTTCTTAGCAAACAAGACCGGTGCGCCTCACGATGACACACTCGGTCGGATGAAACCTTTCATCCTCAAATCATCAAGCTGCCTCTTTAATTCTTCTAATTCAACTGGTGACATACGATACGGTGCCATAGAAATCGGCGCGGTACCTGGCATTAACTCAATAGTGAACTCCACTTCTCGATGTAGAGGCAACTCTGTCAAATCCTCTGGAAACACATCTAGAAAATCACGAACAACTGCAGGATAATCTTCTTCCACAACATCATCTTCTTCGGCTCTAAGGTTAGCCAAGAAATAATCACCACGACTCCGTCCACGAACTCCATAAAATGATGAAATGTGGGAATCACTCCGATCTTCCACGAAAAAGAAACAGTCTCCCTCGGGAGTGCAAACTGTAACCCTTCCTCTGTAACAGTCGATCGTAGCATGAAATAAAGCTAACCAATCCATCCCGACAATGACATCGAAGCTAGTCATCTCCAGGAGGATAAGGTCAAACACAAAAGTTCGCCCGGCTATCACAATGGAACAATCCCGCACAACTCGTCTCAATGACACCGAAACCCCAACTGGCATATCAACACACAACGCCCAATCCATGAAACTGACCTCTAACCCCGATGCAAGTGCAAATGATGATGAAATGAAAGAATGAGATGCACCAAAATCAAACAAAACACAGGCCCAAGAACCAAACACTGGAAATATACCTCGGAGAACTGACGATCCATGAGATGCATCAGTCGGTGCAAGTGCAAAAACACGTCCCTGCGGTGCCTGTGCCTATAAACTACTAATTTGAACACCAGACTAATGTGCCGACACAGTAGGAGTATCCCTCCTAGCTGGTCATGAACCCTGAGAAGACATGGCAGGTTGTGGTAGTGGCAGTGGTCTAAAACCTGACTGAACTGTAGCCGACTGTGACGGCCTCTGCCGTGACCCTTTGCTACTAGTGGTGCCTGCTCCCTGACTCGGACAGTCTCGAATCAAGTGGCCCTGCTGGCTACACCCATAACAAACCCTCGGAGCTGAAGAAACTGAAGACGATCTCATGGGACAATTGGACTTGTAATGTCCAGGCTACTGGCACTGAAAGCAAATAACTTCACTCCTATCAGATCTAGCCGGCATAGGAGTGGTAGGAGCGGGTTGTGCAGCCTGCTGCCCCTGAAACTGAAATGAACCACTCATGTTCCTTTTCCCTGAAGGTCCTTCTGCAGATGGTCCTATATTCCTCTTTTGTCTCCACTGTTCTCTTCTTGCTTCTTTATCTTTAGCCTCCACCTCTAACATCAATGCTCTTTCCACTGCCTCAGAATAAACCTTGATGCCCTGTGCTATTAACAACGGCCTCATCTTGTAGTCAAGTCTGGAGATAAAATTCCGAACCTTATCAACTTCATTACTCACCATCTCTGGAGCAAAGCGAGAGAGTGAGGTGAACTTGTTCTCGTACTCCGTCACCGACATATTGCCTTGGATAAGGCCAATAAACTGATTCTTTAACTTCCACCTATTGGAGGCAGGGAAATACTTCTCATATAATAGCTCCTTGAACCTATCACAACTCATCTTTTCAATTTTATATTGATTTGTGATCGATTTCCACCAAAACTTGGCATCATTTGTAAACTTGTAAATAGCTAGGATGATTTTCAAGTGATCCTCCGTCACATCCATAGAAGTTAATTGAGTTTCAACTTACTCCATGTAATCATCCGCTACCATAGGATCTGCACCACCTTCAAACATTACCAACATCAACTGAGAAAACCCTTTAATAATCTTGAGACGCTTCTGTGCTGACGTCTCCTCTACTTGCACTACTGGTTGTAGTACCGGCTGCGGTATCGGCTGCGGCTGAGTAGCAATGGTGGCTTTATTTGAACACTTTTAGAACTAGTTTTTTTTTTTTTTTAATTAAAAAAAACAAACGCTCTATATCGATACTAGATGGTGCTTTTGTAATGACCCTAACTGATGCCAAAATTTTAAAAAAAAAAAATTCGGCATGACCTCCGCTAAAAATCGTCCTACAACAACCTGTTTAAATGCATTTTTTTAACCTGTCCCAACACAATAAACATATAATACATTCCAGCATCCCTTTCATCCATTCATCATGCCTCAACATAGTCATCTCGAATCCACATATCATAATTACAGTCCCAAAATACAAGAGTAAGATCAAATGTCTATACTTTACAACATTTAGACAGCTTATATAAAAGTTACAACCCATAGGTATAATTATAATATTCAAATAAGTCGTCGTACAAAATATATTATACTTAGTCTTACAAAAATAGTGAGACCGAAGTACAAAAACAACAAAATAAGCTCATAATCCATACTAAGTATGTGGTATAACGTCATCCGCCACTTCTTTCCCGTTTCCTGAAAAATGTTAAATATATAGGGTGAGCAAAATTGCTCAATAGGTAGTGCCTAAGACGCACCTCTTGAAACCCTGTGAATCCAAACAAGGAATGGGACAATAGGAATTTGGGGTCATGCAAAGCCGGAAAAACACAATATCAATTCTAAGTTCAAAGCAAATAAATCTCGTGCCATGAATGCAATGTTATGCATGTCACTCCCCATTGTCAAAAAAATATCATCACTTCACAAACTGTTAATATAACCCGCCCTTTGGTGACTCCGCAACGACATGAGAGAAGGATTAGCTATTGTCCCTGGCCTTTTGGTACCTCCGTAGCGTCATTTAGGACCCAGATAGCTCAACCACGCTAAGGCAATCTCCGTAATTCCCTCTAGGCTATATTAACACACCAGCCCTTTGGTGATTCCGCGGCGACCGGCTTTTTCTCAAAAACCGTTTCATCAAATTCTCCCCAAAAATTCCCTTTTTCATTATTATCAAGTCATTGTACCCTTTTTCTTTCATGCCCAATGCTATGGATGCAAGTCACATGCTTTACCATTTCCAAGAAATTAAAGAAATTTCTACTACCAATTTAACGTGCATCCGTATAGTCATTTTAGCAAGATAATAAACACTTAGGCATGACAATTAACATATTAAGCATACTTTACAATAATTCTAAAAGAATTTCCATAAACTTCCATGAATAATTTCTACTAATTTTATCAACACAATCATATAGAGAATCCAATAATCAAGCATATCTTTCATATAATTCAACAATTTCACATAATCACATGCTATATATACAAAATCATGTCATTTAAGAGGCAAATAAATCAAATTGATCATGCTTGACAATAATTATAGTAGAATGACTCACAAAAGCACAAGGTAATGAGAATTAAAGACCCCTACCTCTATTATATGCAAAACCCCCAATTTTCATCTCAAACCCTCAAAATGGGTCAAGATTTTCGGACTCCCTAGGTTGCTCAAAACTGAAATTACTGGTACACACATGTAGAGCTCGCCATGCTCTTCGTTTTGCCGCAAACATCACTCAAAATCACTTAGTATCGAAAGAGGAATCGAGCTTCAAAGTTGTAAAGCAAAAGAAAAAAAAAATGGAAGCAGAGAGAGAGAGAGAGAGAGAACGCGCAGAGGCATAGATAGAGAGAATCATACCAACAATAGTGGTCTCATGACCACTTAAGAGTGATAGTGGGTCCCACCCATTTTGTTTGAATTTTCTTTTCTTTTTCTTTTTCTTTTTCTTTTTCTTTTGAATTACACCTCTCACACACAAACATATATATGTATATGAAAAACTTAAACATTACAGTTTTGAGCATTTTACCCTTTATCAAATATGTTCACTTTATATGAGGTGATGCATAAACATAGTTACATACCATTGTTGATTTAATAGCATTTTGTTCAGCGTATGAAACTATTGTGTGTTGGTAAAAACACCCGGTTTACGACAGAGTTTTATCAAATATGTGGTTGAAGTATCTAAGAAAAATTGAATACGTATACACGAGTATCCGAGCAATTCATGAACAATAAAATCACATAAAGTACTTGGTATTCACAATGGAAGCAAACTGTCACTTTAAAGGCAGTTGATGCATTTTCCCTAGTTCATTATTCCTACATATTGCTGAGTGCCTAAGTCTATCATCAAATTGTGCCACTGCAGCTACAAGTTTTGGCCTCCCATTTCTCAGTGCTTATCTCAATTCTTTGGGGACCAACTTCACTAATGGTGCAAACTTCGCCACTGCAGCATCAACCACCACACCACCTCAGTCCATTATTCCGGTGGGCGCATTCAGTCCCTTCTACTTAGATGCACAGTATTGACAGTTCGCATAATTCATATACAAATCACAAATTATCAAGAAAACAGGTAAATGATTTTATCGCACAGTGCCATGTCATTTTCAATACCTTACATTCACCGATGGGGAGGTTTAGTGTCCGAGCACTATTAGGGGCAATATTGTGAGCGTGTGTGCCTTTGCTTGAACTTTCGAATATATATATATATATATATATATATATATATATATATATATATGTATGCTACATTCTCTCTTTAAATTTCTACCCATTTTTTAATTTGGAATTCAATTACTCTTATTTATAGGAGGAATATACAAGGATTTAATGCCAGAGGAGGAAAATTTTCGAAAAGCCTTGTATACATTTGATATTGGTCAGAATGATCTTAATCAAGGTTTCTTGGTCAGTAACATGTCCATAGAGGAAGTGAATGCTTCTGTCCCAGAAATAGTCAATAGGTTCTCTACTAACATTAAGGTATAATCTTCATAAGGTCTGCATATATCATACATGTAGTTGTTCTTCCTTTTTGATAGTTACAATTGATAGGTTGAGCAGAAAAAAAAAATGGGCATGACTAAAAATGTTGTATTGGAAGTATTATAACCATGACATTACGATGGTGTAGAATATATACAAGTTGGGAGCTAGGTCATTTTGGATCCACAACACCGGACCGATTGGCTGCCTTCCCTATATCTTGGCAACTTTTCCGGCAGCTCAAAGGGACAGCGCTGGCTGCGCGAGGGCTTACAATGAGGTAGCTCAGTAGTTTAACTACAGGTTGATGGAGGCGAGTCTACAACTCAGAAAGGACCTTCCTCTAGTTGCAATCACATATGTAGATGTGTACTCCGTCAAGTACTCTCTCTACACTGAACCAAAAAAATATGGTATGTCATACTACAAAAGCTCCATGTTAAACATAGTTTTACATTGCATCAACATAGGAACAAAATTTATACAGATATAGATATAGATATATATATAAATATGAATGTGCCATTTATGTTGTGGTCGTAATCTGCAGGGTTTGAGCATCCGCTTGTCGCTTGCTGTAGCTATGGAGGGAAGTATAACTTTAGCAGTGTGGGAGGTTGTGGAGATACTGTCACTGTTAATGGCAGCCAAATATTCATCGGTTCGTGTGAACGCCCCTCGGTTCGAGTAAACTGGGATGGAGTTCACTACACTGAGGCAGCAGCTACGTTTGTTTTTGATAAAATTTCCATTGGAGATTTCTCAGATCCACCAATTCCCTTGAGAATGGCTTGTCACAGAAAATTGGACTAAACTTTCTCAGTATATAGTACAAGCACTTCAGCAATGGACAACAATGTTATATGTTGTTCATTTACTGGTTTTCATTTTCATGATTATTATTATTATTTCAGAAAGGTAAGTTTTGATTTTTATTTTCACTGTATATTTGCACACTTTCGTACATTCTCATACGCTTCTCTTCCCAGATTTCTCAGGAGAGAAAGAGTTAAGAACCTGTTTAATTACATTAATTGACTTGGTATTTGAAATAAACCTCTAGCCAAGGTTTCCTTTCTTTTTGCACAAACACCAACTTTTGCTAAAAAAAAATAAATTCATATTACTTGTTTTTTTTTTTTTTTTTTTGCAAGCTCTGGAAATCAACTCTAACATGAACAAAAAATAAACAGAATTGAAGAGTACAAAAATGGTTAAAAGGAGAGTATTTGGACATAAATAAAAAGTAAGGTTTCATCCAGTCATCAAAACTCGGCACTATCTCCCAAAAAGGCAAAAAAAAAATTAAAAAACAAAAAACAAAAAACTTCTTGATGATCATGATGAATATAACTTAGTGAGTTCTTCCGAGAATGACTTCCTAATGACATCTCTCTTGATCTTGAGAGCTGCAGTGACAAGGCCAGATTCAGGAGTCCATGCTTCCGAAAGCAATTTGATCTTTGCAGGGATCTCAAACTTCTCCAAACGTGCCTTCTTTGCCGCCTATATAACAAGAGAGAGAAGAAAACAAAAGTGAAATACGAAAAATAAGCAACCAAGGAAAACTAATTTCTAAAAGGTTCATGCTTTACTTTTTCTTAATGATGCATCGAACATTAAAAATCAAGATCCTCAAATGTATGAACCAAATTAGCCATGAAAAATGCAGCATATACTATGAGATCTCCCTTTAATCTTCTATATTCTAAAAATATTGATGTTGAACCAATTGTATAGGAACCACATGCAGGCTCCATAACAAATATTGCTCTCCCTTTAATCTTCTAATTTTGATCCATGCGTGCAACCAAATGTTAAACCACTATCGGCCTACAATTGGGTGGTCAGATCAAAATGTCATTATCCCCTTTGACGAAAACACAAAAATGTCTTAAGTAAAGGACGTGTCACTGAATGAGATCTCTGTGCACTTATAGTCTTGCAAGATAATTAAAATCTCTACCATCGTGCTTAAGACCAAACAGTTCAGAAATATTTATTCGGTACAAGTACCTTTACAAGTGATCCGTGAACTTCCTTAATGGTTTCTTCTTTTTGGCACAACTCCGAAAAATCAACAAAACTAATTCCCTGATTCTTGGCCCAGTCTTCCACTGTGTACTGCGAAGCCACCACGAGAGCCACACAGTAACTGTGAAAAGGATCAGCATGCAACATAATGTTGTCGACATAGGGGCTGACCATAAGAACAGCCTCAACCTGTAGAGGAAGCACCGGTCTCCAATGAAAATATGATCATACAAAGCATAAATAAAATATTTAAAATCATTTCCCAACATCCTTACCTTCCCTAAAGAAACATATTCTCCGTGCTGAAGTTTAACTATGTCCTTCTTACGATCAATTATTTCAAGGCAACCATCAGCATGAAACTGCCCTATGTCACCAGTGTAGAACCACTTCATCCCTTTCTCATCAACCTTTTTCAAGAAAAAGATTAAGATAGTTCATTGATTCTACATATTTTTCTTCTTAAGGTAATACCACAAAAGTAATCCAGGTAACAAACTCTGAAAATCTACCTTGTAAACTTCCTTTGTTTTTTCCTCATTTTTGAAATATCCAATTGTAACATTTGGTCCACCAACAATTATCTCTCCTCTAGGCATTGGAGAATCACTGGCTAAATAACCACCCTCGGGCCAATCTATCAACTGAAATACAAAACATATAATTTTAATGCAATAGAGTAAACGTGTCTGACACTGGATGCAAGAACCTCTAGTTAACCATTATTATAAGATCATCTTCATTGGTATAATATATAATGGATGGCGAATGGTGAGGATAGAATAGAGAACCAAGACGCTGCACAATCCATATGCTTGACACTTTTATTCTGATAGAGGCAGTAATGGGCCGAGAAATATTTTCTAGTGGGGGCGACATTGAATAATAATAAGATTAAACTTTTTTGAACCAAAATAATAAATACAAATATGTTAATGTTAGATTAATTAATAAAAAATTATAAACGTGTTTCTTCGTCCCTTCCCACTCCTGTTTTTGTGTTGGATTTCAAGACCAAGGATAGTTTTATACAGGAATTTTGTAGGAGCATAAGTACAATCATTAGAAGATAGATGCAAGCAAAACTAAAATAATAAAAAAATTGAGAGGATGTGCTCTCTATTATTGACATGGTAAGAGAGAGATTACTCTTTTTTTCATGATCTAAAACTTGAGTGGGGCGAGTATATACAATAATAAAGTATTATAGAAAAATTAGTAAGGAATTCTTGTAAGTTTAATAAAAATATAGGTATATAATTAAAATAAAAAATTCCACCCACTGGGCCTATTTAGTAGGTCCGTGCCTGGATAGAGGACATATCATGACTAATGAGCAAACTACTATGATAAAAGCTAGCAAACAAAACAATTTGAGAGTTAGCCACCAAATACCAATGTATTGATCCATTTCAAAATGACCATTCCCTTTAATTCCGTAGAGAAGTGAATGTATTTGTAAAAAATTTACACTAAAAGAAATATATCTTACCTTGATAACTGAGCAAGGAAGTGGAGCACCAACACGACCAACAGATGTATCATCATACTCAGAAAATGTTCCACCGGCACAAGTCTCAGTGAGACCATACCCTTGACCTATTGGAGCACTGGAAACAACAATCCAGATAAATGCAGTTATTGTGATGTGAACCAGAGAAAAGAAAAAACAAAAACGAATAAAAGAGGTTGTATCATACAGAGGGCACGGTGCACCTCATATGAAGCATATACATGTTTAAGTAAAAAGAAACACATAAATCAAATATATAAGTTGCATGTGAAGCATCCAACACTATTAGCATTATATCCATGATTATATTTTCTTCACCCCCCCACCCCCCCTTCTTCTTTTTTCAATTAGGACTTACACAGTAGGGGATTAAACCCACGTCAGTGTTTTAAAATAATTGCAGTTACTGTATAATAAGTAAATAAACTGAACTGTATTGCAGCAAAAAAGTGGATCAATAGGCAACTTCCAGGCAGGAAACAAGGAGCTGGCTTAAGTCTATCAAAAACCTGATTTATCTGTTAATACTAGTCGTACTAACCCAGTAACACTGTGCACAAATCTAAAGCTGTGTAACCTCGACTCGAGTACGTGTGTCGGGTGCGGATATGTTTAAACATATCACATTTCTGAACCAAAGGACACATGCACAGTGCTAAATATTTATATCATCTAATATTTATATTTTATTTTATAGAGTAAAATAATTTGTTTAGGTTACACAGTGTTCACTAAAGGCATTTGACTCGTTTTAAAGCAATAAGATGATAGAATAAAATTATTTAATATGCTTTTTAGGTGCATATCCAACCAAAACTGTCGGACCCATATCCCATACCCATACACATGTTCTAGTGTTGTGTGTCTGACAGAGGTACTTTACTGCTATTGAAGAGTCCATTTAGCATAACCATTCGAAAAAAAGAGTCCATTTAGCATGCATAGGACTAAGGAGCTTCATTGGACACAAGAGAGCTGAAGAACAAATGCCTGTTGTATACCCCATACCAAGCAGACAGTCCAAGTAGTTACGCCAGCTTAATATAAACCAAAATCTTTATTTGACAAAAAAAAGATATAAATTATAGTCATGATAATTTAAACCCCAAATCCTCGTAGCTACACAGTAATATATTCTTATTGTAAATAGGGGTAATAAAGATTAACCTAATATGAGCAATTCACATTCACTAGGTTTTCCCATAGTTAAGTTACTAGGGTTAAGAGATAACTAGAGCATTCTTTTGATCTTAGCTACACAATAAGTTAACAATTAACATTCAAGCATATAATGGCACAAAACAGCACCTAAGTACTATCTAAAATGTTTATAAACAAGCAAACATGGAAAATAGGATTCATGTAGCCGACACACCGTAGTTGGGAGAAGGCTTTGTCAAGTTGAGTTGCCTTTATACACAAGTAATAGCGACATTATGCAAAAGGAGAAAAGTATGAAAGAGAACCTAGGAAGCATAGACACGCCAAAAAGGGCAAAGAATCCATGATGGACATTGACACGGGCCGGACACGCTCCGACACGTGTCGGACACACCAAAATACGTGTTCGAATATTTTATATTTTTTTGAATATCCGGACACGCCGTGGACACGCTTCCGACACGCCATGGATACGTGTCCAACACAAATGTCCCACTCTTTGGGGATTTTTAAGAAAGTTCTAGAAACAATGTTGAGTTGAAGTGTAAATATTAGGAGTTGTTTAATTACATAATTACTTTATATTCAAACAATTAGATATTTATTCTTATATTTTAGTTCAATGGTTTGAACCCTTGCACGATCATCTTTGACTCTACTGTTGTCCCACCAACCAAGCTTCGTTGCTGTGAATGCTCTCTCTCTCTCTCTCTCTCTCTCTCTCTCTCTCTCTCTCTCTCCCCTCTCTTTTCTCTCTTTTTTTTCATCGTCCTCTTTTCTTTCTTCTTCTTGTTATTCAAAAACCCTAAATACTTCTTTTTTTCCTTTCACAATAAATTTCTTTGTCTCTTTTTCCTTTTTCCTTTATTCCCCATGAACTTTTTCTCTTCTATGGATTCTTACCTTTAACCAAGGCCTAATTCTTTTTCTAACAAAACCCTAATCCTCTTTGTCCCTTTTTTTTTTTTTTAACCCTCTCTTTCTATCATTCTTTCTTTTTTCCAGCAAAACACATTTTTTTGTTCATTATGAGATTGTAAAAATAATATTACTCTTAATTTCTTAAAGTAAAACATCATATATATATAGAAAATATATTTCTTATTTGCCGTGTCCCCGCCATGTATGTGTCCTAATTTTTTAGGATTTGCCGTGTCGCCGTATCCGTTTCCGTGCTTCTTAGAAGAGAACAGAGCTAGATACTCCATACAACTGGGATTGTGTAATATACATATATATATATATATAGCGAGAGAGAGAGGGAGAGAGATGGCATATAGCCTGAGCCTAGTCCATTTGGGCTAAGAATACAGGGGCATTTGTATGCATAATAACAGAAACGGCAACTCCTAGAACTGAGTCATTATCAAGAGTTTATTAGAACATGACCCTAGAAAAGGCATCACGCATAATTTTTTTCTTTTTCCCCCCTTTAGTTGGTCCACTTATTTAATACTTCAGCATTACTCATTATTATCAAATTTATGGATGCAAATGTAGCTATCAGAATTATCTTGACCACAGTATGAAAATTCAGAGGGTCAATAATTTATTTTGCATATAAGCGGTCAACAAAAACTTGCTAAGCCATACTAACCCAAGACAAATGTTGATAAATCTTTGAGTATCACCAGACAGAGGAGCCCCTCCAGACAGCACAAAACGGATGTGACCACCCAAAACTGCCCGGATCTTTCTAAACACAAGAAAGTTCCACAGAAACCTTTCTAAGCCCCATGCTCCAAACCAACTGCCATTTATTGCAGACAATCGACGAGAATAAGATAGATCAAACAATTTCTTTGATAGTCCACCTGTTGCATTTACCTGAAGTTTCAGAAGTATTATAATTTTATGTAAATAAGCTTGTCACAAGAAATAAGGCTTCACACACCATAAAAAACAATGAGTCTTTACAAACCTTCTTGAGGACACCGTCTCGAACACGATCAAGAATAGCCGGGACGGCTGTCATCAATGTTGGCCTTAACATAGACGCATCCCCCTTTGTTCCCCTCTTTATCTTGCTTGATGTATCAGTTAGAGTCAAAGGGGATCCATATCCTATGGAACTTCCAATAGCAGCTATTACATTCTACAATATAAACATGAATTAGTCAAAATACTTTGCACAAACAAGTCCAGATCACTGAATTAGAAAGGAAAAAAATATATATATATATCCCGTCTACTCCAGTTACCATAACCAACCATGTTTTAAGATAAACCTTACCTCAGCTGCTAATTCAAGAATATGAGCCAGGGGTAGGTACGCTAAATAAACATCCTTGCTTCCGAGGTCAGGGACAATTGTCATCACTGCAGAAATGGTAGCTAGAACATTGCCATGTGTCATCATTACACCCTGTAAAAATTGGAAGTACATTTGGCAGATTGATAATAAATTTTTTATTCTGGCTTTAGTAAGCATTTTGATAAGATTTTTTGGAAATGGGAAAATCATGCAGACAGTACTTGCAACACGAAATGTGTAAATTGAACGGGACATAAACAAATAATAGACCTATACAAATAAATAAACAATAATGATAATTACAATAGAATGAACTGTAAAACTTTTATCAAACATCTCAAATGATTAATGTAGCAAGTTTTTATTGATTTTTTCGACTGAATAGAGGTTGTAGAATTTATCAGATTGTCAGATGTCTCGAATGAATGCTGTAACCATGTCTATGACACTCTAAGTACCATGAGAAATAATATTAGTCTTTGATACACAGATCATTTAAAGAACATTTTCTACAATCTCATGCTCTCTTAATCCTAAGTCATGTTGATCTATGCATTCATTATTGCAATTAGACAAATCCCAGGGATCTTCTTAGTAAAGTTAATATGCACAATCCCGGCCCTCCACATCTACATTAAGGCCTACACGTGCAGATGCCACCTAGAGATGCCTTAGATGGCTGACTTACTCATTAACGGGATATCTCTTATGAGGAAAGAAGAATTTTCATACTTGGAAATATCTTATTACACTCTGTTGACAAACATGAGAAAGCAGGTTCAACTTTAAGAGCAGCCACTTTTGTGCAAATTAATGTCAAAAATTAAATTTGTATCCGGTGCATCCCTCCAAACACCCCACACCAATGGCCTCCTTTGAAACTGAACTCAGTAACGTGTAGTACCAGAGACGAACAAATATTTGTTTAGGAATCATGTACAAACATATTTCCACCCATAAAGACAATTTGACACCCCCTAAATCACAGGATTTCAGAAGGCAGGAGCTCTTGGGTTATCCCTGTGGGAGACGAGATACTTAACAGGCCAGGCAATGACTTCATGCTCCGAAGGGCTAGCTACCCCAAAAGCAATATTTAGTTTTCAGAAACACTAATGCCTCCAATAAGACTCTGATATGTTCATCTTCAGCCCATATACTCTCTCTCTGTGACTGTATGTGTTGCATCTGATTAAAAAGTCAATTCCGATTAAAAAAATCCTACCAATATATCAAATTTATTCAACTAATATTTCCTTTATTTAAGCCAAAAAAAAAAAGAGACAGAAAAATCCTTAGTGAAGAATGAAGCTGCTTCACTCATATCTAGTCATAGTGGTACTGAAGGATGAAATATAGATCAATTTTTTTACAATGCAACTTAAACCAACATAAAATTTTTAGCATTCATGTATTAGATGCTGTCAAATTCACAAAAAAAAATCATTACAAACATTACTAAATGAATTCTAAAAAGTATCAAGGAATTTCTAGAAACATGTCAACCCACTAAGAGAATTCATGGGCTCGGTTCCTGATTTCCATCAAAACTGTCCAATGCTTACCACAATGCTACAACAGCAACTACTATTGTGATTTAGAACCATAATTGAAATTATCATTTTTCCTTGGCAAGAAACTCACATCCATTTGCCCCTATGGGAACTTGAACCCTCACCTCTATCTTTGAGAGGTAGATGAAATACAAATAGGCTACAGCTAGCTTTGTTATGATTGAAATTATTTTATCCAACTACTTCAATGAACATATTTTTAGAAGAAGCCAAATTACATATAAATGACTAGAAACAAATATTTTATTCACCAAAACCTTCCCTGGCACCTCTAAAGATGTTGTCATCTTAATGGCACAAGTATCCAGGATGTCACATAAGAAATAATAGATTCAGTCTTGCAAAGAGCTGATTCACTGCCATTCTTTGGAGAATCTGGACTGAAAGAAACAATAGATGCCATGATGGGGAGGCTTCGTCTCCACAGCAGATTGCAAAGGACACTTGTCTTGAAGGATTATCTGCTCTAGGATTGTCCATCTCTAATATTGAGTCCTTATTTTGACTCAATTTCTTGTTGGAAAGCTGTTTTTTTTCTTTTTACTTTATGTTCTTGCTGTAGGTTGGGGTATGACCTGTCCTACTCTCTTCGAGTTTTTTCCTTTTGTGATCCTTTATAGATCACTGCTTCCATATGTACCATCTTGTTCATATTTATAAATAAAAAAAATCCCACATTCAGGAAAAAAAAAAAAAAGCTTGATGGCATTTTCAGCTTTTAATACCAAACCATTGCCTAGAAAAAGAAAGTAAGATAATTTCCTGTTCTTCTTCTTGTTTTCATTTCATGATGCTACATATTAACTTCATCGATTTTTTTTTTGTAATTTTTTTTTTAATTTTTTATTTTGGTTTCAGTAGGCAACCTTGATCTTTTTGAAATTTTCCATCACTTTTTTATATATAAATATTTATAATTCTAAATCACCTTCATCCACATGTCAAGAAACTGATAAAAGAAAAATGGAATCATAACATGATGGTGTTGGCACGATACACTCAGATACACATGCAAAAAATTTAAAAGTTCACTACAGAGACTAAGACGAACATTCCAAAAGGAAGAAAATGATCTGTAACAGGATTAGATCTTTTACTAACCTTAGGTAAACCAGTACTCCCACTTGTATACATTATCACTGCAATATCAGCTGAAAGAGGTAAATCTGCTTCAACAGGATTCTCTTTACCAAGCTCCTCTACATCAGAAAATGTAGTGATTGTCCAACTATTGCCCCCCTCAATTAATGAGGCATTTGATGGAACCTCATCGTCCATACATATTATGCGTTTTACTGTGTCAAGTTGTCTGCTTATGTCGATGAGTTTCTTCAGTTCTTTGTGCCCACAAATCACTGTGGTAACCTCTGTCTGGAGAATAAATTGAAATATAAAGTGAGAATATAGTAAAATAAAAGTAATTCTTAGCAAAAATAAAATATTCCTTTTCCCAAGATAATAAAAAATGACACTGTTAATGACAGCAAAAATTCGATGTAGAAGTATATGTCATGCAAACTAGAAGGATGTAACCAGTTTAAAAGACAAAATCAAAACGTGTCATCAAATTTTCGCATAGAAGAATATTATTCTATGTGCTAAATTTGTTGCAAAATCCTCGTAAAATAAAGTTATTTCAGTTCATCATTTAACATAACAAAAAAAAAAAAAATTGAAGCCCTATATAAACCCAGATATGAACTGAGATGCAATTGTGTCAATATACCATGCCACCAAAGTGATGCAAAATAAAGATATCTAAAAATATGTAAATTTTAAATTCTCGAACAAATTACTAAGGTGCTGGAGACGAACAAATTTATATGTGATGCAAAACTGGTTTCCTTTAACTGATTAAAGAGACATAAACATAAAATGTTAATTTAAAATTTTGAATCTGTATTCACTAGGAACAGTTTATTACTTTTCGTGCTTTACAAATTATATATACAAAAGATCTAGCAAACTTTGTTAAATGTAGTCTTAACTACCATCTACTGTAAAAGCTAAAGCTGTTAGAGAAGGAGTAACTTAAATATATAAATCCTTCAACACGCCCCCTCACGTGTGGCCTTCTTTTGGCCCAACACGTGTTTTAAACTACCATCTACTCCAAAAGCTTAAGCTTTTAGAGAGGGTGTAACTTAAATATATAAATCCTTCAACATGTAGCATACTAGACCAGAAGCATACCGCAGTTCTGATACAGCAGATTCCTCATAAATAATGAACTCCTAGTAGATGCAAGAGTACAAGCTTCAGTGAATTTTAAAATTATAAACCTAACAAACAAAAAATCTGATTCCTTTTATTTCTTGGTATGATTGAACTCCTGATTTCATGCAAATTACCATCTGGAAAAGTACTCCCTCAGTCCCAAAAATCTTTGGGTGTTTGAGGAATCCAACTTTTTATGGTAGTGGGTTTTTAAATTTTCTTTTATTGTATTGATAAGAGTGAATTTCCAAATTTATCCTTGTTAAAAGACAAAAGAGTCCTCTGTAATTAGTACAGTTGTTTAATCAAGTCAATGTCAAAAGGATAGTTTAGGAATGTTATAAAAATAGTTCGTCCATTTTTTAAATGGGGCATGTATTTTGGGACATCCCAAAATAGGAAGATGGACAAGAATTTTGGGAAGGAGGGAGTATTTATTTATCGTACTGAGGTGTTAAAATGCTGAGATGTGATCTGAACCATTCTTCTAACAAAATGTCAACTTTTTCCATTTCTCTTTTCAAATTTTAATTTAAAAAAATAAAAAATATGTAGATCTGAAGTGTTGAAATTATAATTATTCATTTAAGATACTTGGACATGTTGGGAGGCAAACCATAACTGTTCACCAGCCGTCTGGACAAGTGCCAAGTGAAGCTTGAACAAGAAACCTATACTCCAAATGAGCTACTTATTTCAACCAAACACTCGGGCATCCTGAAGCTGGTTCAACTTGGCTTGTTTGCAGCATACTCATCATACTAATTACTGTACATATTCATTTACAACACTTTATCTACCACAAAGTAAATTTCCTATAGAAAGGAACATTTACTATATATCTTACCCGAGAATACTAAGTTTTCATCAATGACAATATTGAATAAACTCAACAAGACTTGATTCTTACTAATTTAAATTTGACAACATAATTCAAGCAAGAGGGTAGCACAAATTGATGACTCTTATGTAAGAAGGCATATTCTCCTTATAGACAGCCTTCACTAAATAGCGAAAATAATAATATAACTTCAATTTATAGAACAAATGTAAGCTGTATCTTCCTAAAACATAGGGAATGTTCAGGTTGCAATGATGTATAAATAACAGTTGGAGGAAGTAAGACAACATTCCGACTCAAAATATCAAAGAAACAATTGACTTCATGTAGAGTTATAACTTCGCACCGTTATAAATCCGGTTGTACCTAAAACTGTGGTAAATTTTGTTGAATTTAAGTATCCTTCAGTATTAAGATGTCAAAATCAATTTAGCAATGACATAAAATTTGCGCCGTCATTGGGATGATCTCTTAGTTTCCATGGGTTGGAGATTATGGGGTTGGTCTGTGGTATTTCCTCCCTTTCCTACATTTTGCTCAAAGGTTTGAAGGGAGAGAGTGCATCAAGCTGTTCGCAAGTGCCAACTTGATCCCCTTCCCAAAAGAGATCCTAAATGAGGGAAACCTAGGAAAGATGTCGACTCCAACCAGTGATGGACCCAGAAAATTTTGTGAGTGGGGGTGGCCTTTTAATTTGTGGGGGCAAACTTATATAATGGGTCCATTTTTGTAATTTTAATGGAGTTTTCTGCATAAATTTTCAAAAAATTAAAGCATAAAATGCAAAAAAAAAAAAATTCTGTGGGGGCGAATTGTAATTTTAGTAGGGGCATCTTCATAAATTCTTAAAAATTTGAAGTGTAAAATGCAAAAAAAAAAAAAAAGAATCCAGTGGAGGCAAATTGTAATTTTAGTGGGGCATCTTCATAAATTCTAAAAAAATGAGATATAAAATAAAAATATAAAAAATCTCCCATTGGTCCCATGTTGGGTCTGTGCCTAACTCCAACTACCATCCATGTAAGATCTGGAGGAAGGTAAGACAACATTCCAACTCCAATTATCAAAGAAACAACTGCACATACAATTATAATTTTATGTGGTTACAAATCCAACTGCAACTAAAACTATTTTAGTTTTTGTTCATTTTGAATATCCTTCATGTCAAAATCAATTTCACATTGCATACAAATTGCTTACTAGTCATACAGTCATCCCTGCAGGATATTATGCCTACAAATGTGTATTACACGCCACTTGATCATGCTTCTCTCCAATCTTGAGTTGTAAGCAAGTTATATGTTCTAAATTTTTAAACTTCCAACAAAGATATTCCACCTTTTCCCCAATATTTCCACTTATACCCATATTTTGGTCCTTTCTTGATTATGTGTCCTCAAAGATCTTGAATTATATAGTCTAAATTATTGGAGTTCCACAAAAAAAATAATAATAATAATAATATAAAATTTAAATATAAATAAATAAAAATAATAATTCACCATTTCCCCAATATTTCCCCATAAAACCACATTTAAGTCCATTTGTCCTCATCTCCAGGATAAGTATCTTTGCAATGGTTACATGTACAAAACTACTAATAGATAGCCTGTGATGTGAAAAAAGATATTCAGTGCAAAATATAAATACACTCAAGAGCACATACATGTGGAAGTTATGTGTGTGTGGAGAGAGAGAGAGACCTCATTTAATGAGTAACATAGAGCCTCCTCCCCCAAAGATGCATATATGGTCACAACAGTGATATTGCGCCTGAAACAACCCTGATCCAAGAAAAAAAAATTACTATATTATACAATTGATAGACATTGCAAATGTACAATTTACTTCTTTATAAGAGGTAATAGACCAAACAGCTTCAGATGTACTAACTTCAATTTGTGCCTCAGTATCTAAATAGCACTATTATACTCCCAGGAAAAGGTATGGCTCATACCAATTAGAAATATAACTCATGTAAAACAAAGTTAATATAACACATGTAAAACAAAGTAATCTTTTTAAAATCAAATCATGAAATGGATTAAAAAAACACAAACAGGAAATTAAGTTAAGCACCTGCAATGCAATAAACCATTCTTCTCTTGTATCAGCAAAGATTGCTGCACGTTCTTCCCTTTTATGCCCAAGTTGCACCAAACCAGAAGCAAAATTGCACACAGCTTCAAACACTTTGCCATAACTTAACCACTCATAATCACCCAAATGAAGCTTCTCAAAGGACCTTCCGTCTCCAGATATCTCTGTCTCCCTCGAAATCAATCTCCGAGTTCCAAGAAATTTATTGTCTCGGTACTGCTTGCATGACTGCTCAAAAAGATCAGCAAGTGTTGAGATGCCCTCCCATGCTGTTTCCACTGGGGAAGTAAACCGATAGTTTCGGATTGCATACCCAGGTTCCCCACCAACATCAACAGGCAACCCACGTTTCTTTCTATTTTTTGAATTCCGAAGGAGAATAGTAAAAACAAGAGGAACAAGGACGCCGACTATATATGCGCTCATCTTTCCAGAGAATTACGCCTTAACGGAACTGCTCAAAACCTAAGAAGGGAAATTCAGTACCAGTCATTTTCACTAATCTTACTGATCCATTAAACAGAAAAAGCAAGGCCTTAAACAAAATTCATCCAGAAAATAAAATCAGATCAAAATTAAAGTTATTCTGAGGAATATTAGTTGAGTAATCCTCTACATAAACTTCTTACTGCACATGACAGTCTTACCCCTTACTACATTAGAAGTTGAATATCACTGATGGACCCATAAAAATCAATATTGAAATGGCTCAAACATAAGAATACCATTTTTTCTTTCTTCAGTAATTACACAAGAATACGTTTTAATATAAGTAAATTGGCACTGATACTGGAAGATCCACAAAGAAATACCTAAAATAAGTTCACATTTTTTAATACAATTAAATCAACTAGTACATCATGTCTGATGTAACCATTAAGCTTCAGATAAAATCCAAAAGCACACCTACTACATGTGCTCAAACAAGGAAAAAGGAAGAAAGATTCATAGAAACAGCTACCAGACTACCAGAGAGATTGATGCTACTCTACAATTGACTATAAACCTCCAAAGCAAACTGACAAGAGCTTCTAGAAAGATTGCTGAAAATCAATCATCAAGGACATACAACCAATGTTATATCAATGAAAGTGGAGTTGCAAGAACCACAAAATAAAAATAAAAAAAATAAAAAAGAAGATCATTCTGGGTCCTAAAAGTTTTGTTTATGGAAGTGTGGAACTGACTCTTAAATGCTTTAAACCTGTTATTCTATATTATGGCAAGTGCCTTTCTTCTGCATGGCACTTTGATGAATATAAGTCATCCACAAACAAATGACTTATTACAAATATTAGCTTGTGTCTCCCTAATAAAAAACAAACATAGATGCAAGCACACGTGACAAGTGCACAAATAAACCAATAATTTCATTCTAATTTTCCTAAGTTGTTTCGTCAGGTTCCCAGTCCCCATGAAAGTGTGACACTAGTGTCCAAGTCCAGTCCACACACTGGATATCACTATAAGATCCCTTCAAATTCTTTGTACTATAAGCATTTTCTTCTATCCAATTTTTGATAAACAATGTTGAGGTGTTAGTAAGAGAAGATGACCTTCAGGCTCCGGTACAAATAAGTCCTCCAGTATCACATCCAAACTATTACCAACAAAGCGGCTGGCCTTAACATTGCAGAATTTATATTGAACTTGAAGCAGCTGCAGCTTGCATATTAATTCTGAACATTGTGGTGTCAACAAATTTGAAAGAGGGCAAGAAATAAGGTATATTATTTGAAGCATACAATAACAATGTTGAGGCACATTATCTGCAAACCACCAATTATTTAAAAACCACTATATCACACTTATTTTCACCAACAGTAAGATTAAATAAGATAATTGCGTATAAAATGAATCGTACTAAGTTTTTGCCACTATAATGGCATTGGTAATTTACCACTGAAGAAATGCAAGGAATCGTCTTATGAGGTTACTGAGGCATGAGAAACTAGTCTATTTTCAAGAAATCGACTTCCTTCAGAAGTTTAATGGTATCAAGTGCGGCAAACTCTCTCTCCAAGGTACTTCAACACTACCAAATAGATAAAAAAATATATATAAAATAAAAAAAATCGAATCTAATTCTATGTGACAAAATGACTAGCAATAATAATCCCAAAGGCCAGACTTCTCTCGGTTTATTTCCACCAGCACCCTCCATTGAGCTTAAAATCTCACGACACCAACCCAACCCAATGTCAGGAGAAATAACAAAATTAGTATTCCCACCATTTAACCTCTCGCCTGGTGAACCAATTGTGCAAAAATCCATTTGAATGGACGCATTCTAACCAAGAATTGTCATCATTTACTTGAGAGACGTAACCGGATCCATGAAAATAGCATGATATTGCACATATCAATGATATAGGCTGAAATCGAACAACTATTCATACAATCTCATATTCAACACCATTAGTAAGTCATCCATTAGTGCACACTACTATGAAGCAACACAAACTTTCTCGACTTTACTAAACAAATACATAAAGGTATTCAGGTAATCAGACTTAAACATTCAAGAGAAAGCATTCATACGGTGATAACCATATAAAATCAGAGTTAAATTTACCAAGAGCGCCAAAACTCAAACTCTCTGATCAGTTGACCACTAATAGAATAAATCATCATAACCCATTTAGAAAAACATGTAATTTTTTACTTTCCCTACGCAAATTTTACATACAATTTTACACAACCACGATGACAAGATCAACATTGTAGTGAATAGTGACCCAATTGACTCAATGTTCTCAACTTTTTATTATAGAGGATTCATGAGAAAATACGTATTGAACACAATTTGCATGTTAATAGAATTGAACTCAATGGCCTAACTTCAAGAAAAGCCTAAACACAACAATAGTCAATCACAAACAGCAAACAGTACAGCTTGGAAGAAAGAAAAAAAAAAATCAAATTTTAAATCCGGTATAGATTAGAAGATAGAGTATGAAAACGAGAGAACCCATTTACCAAAACATATAAACAATCAAAAAATTACCTTCAGATTATGGTTTCAGAAACAAATATCTGAAAACAAGAACAAGTTCAGATGATCAGCATTACAAGAACTCCGAGAGAGGGCTGAGAGCTAGTGCTTTCTTGAGGCCAGAGAAGCAACGGAGAAGCCAAAGATCGAAGTGGGTTGTTTTATACAGTGGTTGGATTTGGCGGAGAGACCGAGAGTAGAGAAGTTGGAGTTTCAGAAGTGTACTTAAATGTATTTCTTGTGCTACTTGGTTTTTGTGTTTTTCTCCTCTCTTTGTTTTTTTTTTTTTTTTCTTTCTTTCTTTTTTTTTTTTTCCTTTTTTGTTGGTAGTACATAATAGCGACAAATAAGGAGAAAATGTATTTATTCAATACCATATATACGTGGAGATTTGCATTCAATCTGTCAGAAACTGAACCCTAGAATCGTGTGATGGAGAGTGGCTCGATGTGGTGCATAAGGTTCAGTCTTAGCTGTCCAACTTGGGTGTATACGTTTTGGATTCAACTTGGGTGCATACGTATTTGGATTCATATGGGACAGGTGTCACAAGTTCCGATCCACGGTCTTTTAACTCATAAAGGCACAGAAAAGGCTCACTAGTCCTATTAGAGCGGTGCAAAACTCTTATTTGGTGTCACGCCACAAGTCCAATTAAATGTGTGTTGGGTCGTTTTCGGGTCCATGTTGGGTCGTTTTCGGGTCCATCCAAACTATTGTATATGTGCGAGTGTACAACACGATTTATGAATTCAATACATGGTATGCAAAGTGCACTTAATATTTATTTTTAAAAAAATTGAAGAATAAATACAATTAAATTGTTGCTATCACACAGGTTCAATCTCACTACTCCAATCCCATGTTAAATACAAATGAGAAATGTCTAGCTCTCACAGGGGCTAATAAACATTATCACATGATAATAAGTCAATTTTTAAGAGACAAATGTTTGCAGTTTTACTTTATAATTTCATATACCATTACAAAAGTCAAAATATTATGAGAACTTTTTAAAAAAATTAATTGACTTAAACCTCCAAATAAGACAAAAATTACAAATTTTAATCTTTCTTCTCTCAAAGTGATTAAATCACTGATGGACTAATAATATGAATTTGATCTTTTATCATTTTTCAAATATATTGATGGATTTAGAATATGTGTTTTAAGAAAAATTACCTAATTACATCTTATCGCATTAAATTTAATTAACTGTCTCTTTTTTTCAACACTATGCACAATTTAATTCCAATGATATTTTTTTGAAAGCCAATTTAATTCCAATAATTGAGTGTACTAAAGAATTGATTCTGCAATTAATAAAAATATTTTGTGCAATTAATTGATTTACAATCTTATAGACTTTTTCTCTGCCCCAGGTGTTTGACTGCGGTTAATAAATCTAAAATTACATATTTACTCTTTTAAATACATAAATAAAGGTGAAAGGACATAAAAATATGATATTGGCAATATCACCCCCACCTAGGTTCACAATCTTCATGATTTTTATCCTCAACTGTGCACACAGGGTAGGCAAAGGTGGGCTTTAGCCTATCCCCAAAAAAAAAAAAAAAAAAAAAAAAAAAAAAAAATTTACTATACTAATATATTAGCCCAGCCCAAAAAATAAAAAAAAATTAATAATATTAGCCCACCCCAAAAACCTAATGAAGCCCAAGTAAACTCAGCCACTATACTAAAATAAAGGCCCAAACCAATTCCTTAGTATTCATATTTAATGTTAGCCCACCCCACCTAGAAATCCTGGATTCGCCCTTGTCTACCCTCCGCTTAGTTGATTTCACTCACAGCTCACGGTTCCACCGGTGACCGATCAGTGATTTTCTTGCCGGTTTGACCTCTGACCATCAGAGAACACAACCGTGAGGTAATGGGTTTGTTGTCACTGTTTTTGGGTTTAGTTTTGTTGGTTTCTTGTTTGTTTGGTGAAACATTCTGTTAGGTGACATTCACAGTTTAATTTAAAACCATCAGATTATTGCTTGTTTGGTTTTCTAAATTCTAATTTTTTTGCTTTCTATATTGTGTTGGTTTATGATTTCAATTATCTATATGGTACTTAAAGTGTAGCATTTGTTTATCTAAATGTATTTTGGAGTCCTATGGTACTGGAAAAACATATATATATATATATATATATATATATATATATATATATATATATATATATATCATGGTTCGTAGTAGCGGTCACGGTTGCGGACAAAATTAGTGTAAATTTTTTATTTTATTTTTTCAAGAGAGAATATTGTCTAATTTGAGTAAGGTTTTTTTTGTTATCTCAATTAATAGCGCTAGCACATAAGACAACACCATTGCGGAATTTGGGAAAGGTACAATATGTATACAGCCTTATCTCTATATGGTCTAATTTCTTCGTTTTTTAAATTAATGGAACCAAATAGTTTTTTTTATTATTATTATTTTACAGTCATATAGCATCTACAAAGTACAACCAAAGACAACAACACCACACAAAGGTATAGGATAAATAACAAACAAAGCCCATATTTACACAGGCCATAGTGATGGTCATTGATCAACTATGGGCTTAAGACTTGTCTCACCTGATCAGCAAGCCCATATGATAGCCCCACCAATCTAGCCAAAACAGTGTATAAACATGGCACCTCAAGGAACACACAAAACAGTGTATGCATCATTCCACTGTTAATCCAAAGTGCTAGACCTCTATCTGGCACTGTCAAAGTCTTCCAAAGGTTAAGCATTTTTTTTGGTAGTGTGTTCATGGGATTCTCCCAACTTGGGCTGCTTTAAAGTTTAGAGGGTTGGCTGCTGATGATTATTGTCTTTCTTGTGGCGAAGGTCCTGAAACGGTGGAGCACTAGCTTTTGCGCTGCTCAAAGTCTCTCCTTGTTTAGAAGCTATTTCCTCTTCGTTTGGATTTTCAGGCATGGGGTGTTCGCTCCTTTGCTGAGTGGTGGCTTAATGTGTCTTCCCATTGGGTTGATGCCTGTAGTTTGGCCTCATTTGTTGCTTGGGCGATATGGAAATCTAGGAACAAATTAGTTTTTCATGATTCGATGTCTAGCCCTCATCAGGTCGTTTCTACAGCCGTTTTAGCGTTTTGGGAGTTTCAGGACACTACTCAGCTTCAGCAGCTGGGATGTCGACTTTCCTCCCCGTCTCACCTCTCTGACTCTGTGGTTTGGTCGCCTCCAGCTCCAGGTTCCATCAAAGGTAATTTGGATGCCACCTTCTTTGCCCGCACAGGATGGGCTAGAAGCGGACTTGTCTTCCGAAATCATTTGGAAGTTGTTTTACAAGTTGTTATCCTTAAGTCTTTCTTTGCATCTTCAGCTCTCTCGGCTGAGGCTTTTATCATGAGGGATGCTTTGCTTTAGGCTCGTCCTTTTGGTTTTCACAGTTTATGTTTGGATAGTGATTCTCTTATATTATGCGAGGCTATGAATGGCGTTCGCCCATGTCCTGCATCTATCTTGCCTCTTGCTTTTGACTTTCGGCATCTTTTGCATGCTCTTGCTGTTGCTCGAGTTGCGCATGTTCGTCGTGCTGCAAATTCGCTAGCGCATCAGATTGCTATGCTTTTTCACTCTCAGCCTCGCTCTAGTCAGGTGTTTTTATGGGCTTCCTTGATAGTTGATGTTGTTTTTATCTTCAACTCTGTTCTTCAAAGTTTTTCTTCTGTGTTTCTTCATGTTTTGTCTTGTTTGCCTTGTAAATATATATATATATATATGGTTAACAAAAGAAGCTATCCAATACCCAGATCAAAAGGGAAAAGCTTCTGAACCGTTGCAAAAAACCTTTTAACCCACCAGATCGAAGCTAAATTTTGCCTCCATCGGCACACATGTACCCAGCCGACCACCCAAACTTACAAACCTTTCACAACACAGACCGAAAATATAACAAATAGGAGACTTAATGTTTTTCATCCCAGAGAAAAAACATTTCACTTTAATCAAAACTTTACTCTCTGAAGAACAAAGAACCCCTACAGATAAGAGGAAACCTCTACGTGTAAGAGGAAACAAAAGTATTGGAACCAAATAGTTTTGTTAGTACTTCATTTTATTTTTTTGGTTGACATGAAATATCCCCTTAATCTTGGTACATAAGAATCTTCTTATAGGAACTAAACTGCTAGAATTGATTGATTGTTTATATTATCTTGACATGTATTTTTATTTATTTATTTTGAGTCGTTTGATTAGTTATATAACTTTTAATGCATAGGTTAAAATTGATGGTGGCTATTGGAATCTATAAACATGCTTACATGAGTAATGCTACAAACAAGAAGAGAACTGATGTAAAAGAGTAAGGCTGAGGGGTCTATGAAAATACCATAATCCCAATTACACTATAGTTTTATTAACTCAAAGTTTAAGAAGTTTTCTCTTCTTCTACTTGAGCATTGTGAAAAGAGATGGGACTGAACCTAATATTATTTCGCCCAAATACACAATACCAATCAAAATTCGGGCTTGATTGAATCCGGATATAAAGTTTGTGGCGGTTTTGACTTATCTTAAAGAAGCGATTAAGCGCCTCAAAGATATGGTACAAATTCTCAATATTTTATTTGCATCCATAATTATATGTGCAAGTGAATCATTATAATCATTTTCTTAATATTTTTCAATTCAATTGTAGTTGTTCTAACTACAGTTCAAAATTGACTGTTGTTGCCATGCTATTTTAGGAGCTATATAAGCTTGATTCTCTACCGAATGTGTCAAATAATGTGCATAACTTGGAAATACAAGCTTTTTGGAAAACAAATATGACGAATGATGTTCAGAAATGCACGGTGCATTGACTTGTTCGAACTTTGTGTACACAATATTAACCAGTTATGGCTTGGAAGAGTCCATAACTTGTATAGCTTGGATGTGCACGGTCCACTTGGATGGCACACCAATGAGCACAGTGTGTCGGGCACACCCAATACCTTCTCAAAATAGAGTAATGGGTGCGCCCCTGTACATTCTCAAAACATAGACTCCATAACTTTAACTTGGGCCCTACGGCTATATCTTTACCAAACTGAAAGCCTACTTTTGTTAAACATAGAGTCCATAACTTTAACTTGCGCCCTTGGGCAATATTCGTAATATCCCTAATTTTAAAAGGCTATTCCTGGAATTTAATTTATGGTTTATTTGCATTTTATTTGCTTATTTGTGTAATTGTTTTATTTAATTATTTGCTTAATGGTTTATTTGTTTAATTAGTCATGTTATGTAATTATTTGCTTAAATTATTTTTGGTAATTG